TGGAGCCAAAAACTATGCGTATAAATTGTCCAATGGTCAAACCGTGTGCAAGGTGCGAGGGTTTACGTTGAATTACCGAGGTTCCAAAGACTTAAATTTCGACTCGGTGAAAGGTATGGTTGGTAGCGTTCAACAAAATATTCCTTTGGTCGTCACCAATCCTTTCAAGATTACCAGGACACGTGACCGTCGCCTTTGCACGCGGTCGGAAGACAAACAGTATAAAGTGATTTATACGAAGAGATTCATTCACTTCAACGACAAAAATGAACCAACCAATACCTACCCTTACGGCTTTTGAAGAAAAGGTGAGAGAAAGGTGGTTGAGGCACAGAGTGGACTAGGATTATCTGCCCCATATAGAAGACCAACAGAAAGAGCAATGCATTGGCTGCCTCTACGACTAAGTTGACGTATTGACTACGTTATATTGAAGATAAGATACAGCCTATCCAACACGTTGTCGCATATGATGCAGATGGATATGGTGTCAATTATTCCGATGAAACGGTTGTTTGTAAAGCTGCAGGTAAACCGTATACTCTCATGGTACCTAATAAAAAGTATTCTGTATACTTGAAACCTGTCTTCACTGGTCAATGGATTAATTATGGCCAAAGAAGAAACCGCTGGATGGAAATGACCAAACAGGCTGATAGTTTAATCAGTCACTCTCAAAATTGTTGGCAATTGTGGTTCTGGGGTGACGACACGACACGTGATTTGTCAGTGACGACAGTGAGCTGACAGGGTTTACTCGTCTAGCTACTCTTGGCATCAAATTAAAAGCGATTACTATCAATGTTTACGTACAGTTGGAGTTGAAAAAAATATTCCAATCTGTTGCAAAATAGGAATCTTAATTTTTTTAATGCTGCTCGAAACTGGTTTATAATTAGGTTATAACAGGTGTTCACTACCAGTACTGTAGCCTACAGAAAATGTTAAATAATGAAATTTATTCTGATAAGACTTTATTTAGTAAATGAAATTTGAAAAGTTGTATTGTTTATTAGAATTAAATGATTTTGTAATTTACTATTTAAAATAGGCCTGGTCAACCTAAATTCTAGACTAGCTTATGCTTATTATTCAAATTTATATTTGTTTTTATTGTTAAAGGGATAATACGTCTTAGAATGAACATAAAATTTAAGTTCTGGAAAAGGTCAATATTAGTCTATATTCATCAGGTATATCTACTGTAGCATTTTGACTCCCTGTACTTTCACTTTCT